AATCTTCCAGAAATTTTTCCACAGAGGGAGAGGATGTGTTTTATAAGACATCACTAAAACTTTCCTCTGATCACCCAATGATACTTACGGACTTTTTTTAGGTTTATAGTGCAATTTTAAACACAGGATGTACAGTGACGTGGGGACTGAGAAAAAGAAAACTAGTGGTCTATGAGTGAAACACTTAGGAAGAGTACTTGGAAAAAGCTCAGTATTTGCTGTTAAGAAAATTGCTATGTTTCCTTTTAAGTAATACTAAAGATATATGACCCTTTAATAATCTTTTTTCAAGTGTGCATGTGTGTGCGCTGGTGCACGTTTGCATAGACATGGAGGCCAAGAAGACAATCTTAGGTGTCCACCTCCTTTGACACAAGGTCCTCACTAGCTATAGCTTGCCAGTCAGCCTAAGGACTCTGTGCTTCACCTTCCCAGTGCTGGGGTAGAGGTACACCACCACCACCACCACATTTGGCATTTTTCATGTGTTCTGGGGACCAAATTCAGATCCTCCTGCTTTACCCGCTGATCCACCTTTCCCCACACCCTTTGAACAAACTTTAATTGTGAAGGCCAGAAGAAATCATGACAATTGGCTCAATTTTTCCTAACACCAAGTTCATAGTTGCAAACTTGCTTTGCTCTGGTGATTAAGTAGACTTGTATCTAAAGCAGATATGGCAGAACTGAAACTGGAGGCAGAGAAACCTGCTAGAAAGCTAAGCAAAAACTAAGACAAGATCAAGTGTAAACTTCAGAGAAAGGCAGGCTTGCACTGCTACTATGATGCAGGAACCCTGGGAGAAAGTCCAGATTTAGGACGAGACGGATGCACTTGCATAAATGTGGCTTTAAAGGTCTGCAAATCATTTGGGGATATTCAACAGTTAAAACTAGCTTCTGAAAACTGGGTGTGGAGGCAGCCCATAAACCCCAGCACTGGTGAAATGGAGCCAGGAAGACAAGATCAAGGTCATCCTTGGTTCCAAATCATGCTCAAGGCCAGCCTGGACTGCATGAAATTGTGCGACTTGAGAATACACAGACAGAAATACCACATACGAAGACGTCCAATCTGAAGCCTAGACACTTAATACCATCTACACAATCCCCAAGAGTGGGCCTGTCTGCAAAATAATTTTCCTAAAAAGGCAGATACCTTATTTCACACTGGTTAATTCTCATGATCTTACTAACGCTCAGGTTTCATTTTCCCAATTCTATTTAGTTTCCAGGAGGAGAGTGGCAGCTGGATCTTACCTTCTTCTCTCTATACCCAGTTTTTAGCACCATGCCTAAAATAGCAAGTACTTGAAAGACAGACCGAAAGAACAGACTTGGCATGTGTTCAACACTACTTGGAAGGTGTTGTGTCTTCTCTGAGGTGAACTCTGAAGCAATTACTTGGATAAGACTTCCAAAGAAGAGAAAAGAAAAAAAAGTAGTCCTTGTATAAAATGTCTGCTACTCAATTATTGTTCCTACATGAAAGGATGTTACAATCTGATCCTTTCTCTGAAATCTTAGTAACTGTCTTGCCCTGAAAAGCAATCAGCCTAGAAAACAATGAAGAGTAAGATAGAAAGACAGCCTTGTCAGATGGTCTCCCATTCTCAACAATACTGACAATTTTGGCCTGACCATCTGTATCACAGGGTGATGTCTCTGTACTGCCAAGATGCCTAGAGTATTATTTAAAACATGGGTGGGACCATCATGATGGGGGTCAAAGCAGGAAACCTCTGCTATAGGTTTCAGATGTTTACAAAGGTTCTCAGTATATAGCCCTGGCTCACCTGAGGCCTACAGAGAGATCTGCCTGCTTCTGCCACCAAACTGTTGGGATTAAAGGCGTGAGCACCATGCTAGTTTTTTGTTTGTTTTAAATTACATTTATCTGTTTATTGTGCGTACACTTGTGAGTGCACACCAACCGCACGCACGTGTCTGCGTCTAGATTAACAAGGGTGATTAGGTGTGGCAGCAGTACTTCACCCTCTGAGCCATCTCACCAGCTCTTTAAACTGTACCCCCTCCTCTGCTCCACCAAAATTATCACCAGGTTCTGAGAAATGTTTCTTCTAAGATAAAATTCCCCTAGTTAAAAGACACTTCCTAGGCTGGAAGGATGATTCAACCGCCCTTCCAGAGGACCCGGGGTCAATTCCCAGCACCCACATGGCTGTTCACAACTGTCTGTAACTCTATTTCCAGAGGATCTGATAGCCTCATAGGCAAAAACACCAATGCACATAAAATAAAAATAAATTAAAAAAAAAAAAAAGCAAATGTACTTGCTCTTGCAGAGGAGTCGAGCTTGGTCCCCAGCACTTACATCAGGTGGCTCACAACCATCTTTACCTCCAGCTCCAGGGCATCCAAAGCCCTCTTTTGGCATACAAATAACACATATTCACACAAACACACATATATACACATTAAGAATAAAAATAAGAATTATATCCCTAGTGCTAACTGAACTTCTCATAGATTTCTAAATTCTTATCCCCAATATCTATAAATACATTTCATTAATTTACTTGTTCCCCACTGACTCTATACATTAAATTGTGCTAATAATTTATAAGCCATTTTCCCTAACAGTTAAACAAAATTGGTAAAAATCTCTTGTCAGGCAAATCATAGAGTAATTCACTCTAAATGTGTTATCATACAGCGATCCTGAAAGGTAAACTAATAAAGAAAATAAGAAGTCAATTGCAATGGTCTCCGCATAAAATTAAAGAGTTTTGTCCCCATAGTCAAAATACCTAATCCTTTAACTTCGCCTCTGCAGATGGCTCTGGGGTAGCATTAAGTAAATTGAATTTTACTCATCTAAATTACTTACAAGTTTTAAATAGACACAAAGGATAGATATGTGCCAGTTTCCTTTTTGGTTAAAGTGATATGTAATAGAAATGATTTTATTGGGTTAAAATGTGCAGAATGCAGAAAGAGTAGCTGGCATATACATATTTAAGTGTCAAGCATTACCATGGATCATTTTTAAAGATACACAAGCAAACAGAGACATGCCTTCGATGTTTGTAAACACACTAGAATCAAAGAATAAACCTGTATCCTGATACCCTGGGTTCATATTTCTCTTCCTTAAATGTCATTTGAACTTCAATACCTTTCATTTGTCAATATGAATAATCTCTGCCTTTCTTTCATAGAGCTTCCTTGTACCATTACTAGAGATGGTGTTAAACTTGATCATCATTATATATAAAGTATTGCTTTTATTAAATGAAAATCTAAGGAGACAATATCTATTTACATAGTGGGGGCGGGGCCACGTGTGAAGGTCAGAGGACAACAGAAGAAAAGGTTCACTCAGTCCACCACGTGGGTCCTGGAGTCTGAACTCAGGTCAGCGGACTTGGCAGCCAATGCCTCTATCTGCTGAGCCATCCCACTGGCACACATAATCTAAAATTTAAAATAAAACATCCTCAGGGTTTTTTTTTTTAACGTTCGTGGTATTAGACATGCACAATAACCCTCTAAGAAGAGTAGGCATACTTTAAAGCTGGTGGAAAGAATTTGGGTATCACCCATTTCATCAAGAACAAGATACGGGATCCCCACTTAACCTTTTCTTTTCAGCTGAGAACAAATTATTCTTTTGAACATGGAGATTATGTTGAAGGTAATGGAATTGGTCTCGGCTAATCAGGAGCAGCCCCACAGTTTTAAATCAGTTTGAAGTGTCTATTTTTAGATAGAAAAATCACAGCCCTCCACTGAACACTTCAAAGACATCAAAAGATTGCACGCGCTGGACTTTATACTTATTAGGAAATGTTATTTAACAAAACGGCTTTATATAAGTGAAAGTTGCAACATCAATTACATGTGTGTAAGGTGTCGGGAGAGCACTCCGCTGCTGCCAAATATGCAAAAAAAAAAAAAAAATCCTAACCATTTAGCCTACTGCTACCCCAGCCAAAACCTCTGAAGTGGATTCCGGTCCCGGGTTGGGGTCTCCAAACATGATTTCAGAGAAATCACAAAAATAAAAATAAAATAAAAACGCTCTTGCGTAGCGCCTTCCGAAAAATCCCAAGAATTTTATCTTTCTCCAGGGTTCAGGAGGCACTGGGTTCCTTCCCGCTATACCCAGGAAGGGATGCAGCTCCAGACGGGTCGTTTGGGGTCGTGCTAGCGCAGCCCGCGAGGACTCACTCGCACGTGGCGCCAGTGGAAGGCTCGGCCCCCGAGCCAGCAGCTCTGATTGGCCCGTGGCTGCCAGGGTCGGGAATGCACCTGAACGTGGTCCAAACCAAGAGGGCAATGAGCAGCCACGCGGGCAACTCCCGGGCTGCAGGTCCTGCGTGTTGGCCCCACGAACACAAACATCCAGCCGCGCCAGCCCACGTGGGCTTGGCTCACCACAAGTGCTGTCTCCCTCCCGGGCCGTTCTCACCTCAGCGCTGGCGGCGCTTCCACCTTCAGCTTTTTGGGCTTCGGCTCCTCTGCAGCTGCCATGATCGCACTCTCACCCGTTTGGCTCTACCGCGCGTCCCGCCCCTCAGCCCGGTGGCTCCGCCCCCTTGACTCGTCACCGCCCCTCCCCGGACCCCGCCCCTCTTAACCCCGCCCAATCCGCGACTGTAGTCCAAAACCATTGGCTCTACGCACATCTGATGTCCCGTCCCTCGATTACTACGGAAAGGGACCCCGAACGGAGTTAGGCTGCGGGCGAGTGCCTGCGCTCAGGGAGTGCCACCTCCCTGCTCTTCCAGCTCCTGAGTGATGTAGACGATTCAGATCCAAACCTCTGGAGACACCGTTCCTCTCACTGAGCGCCTTTCCGCCCCTTCTATCTTCCTAGTCCTGCTGACTTCCTTGGCGTCTCTGAGGCTGCTAGTCAGGCAATCTGTTGGGCACTCCAAGCGCGGGGTCCTCGCCGCTTTCTTTGCTGCTTCAGCTTCGGTTCAGAGAGGACCCGGCACCGAATCACTGACTCGCCCAGGTGGCAGGGTGAGTGAGCGCGGGGAGTCTACGGGCTGGAGACCGCTCAAAAGCCGGGGAGCAGACTGCATAGCTCGAGCTCGAAACACTAGCCTGGGCTCCAGGAGCGTCCTTGCTGCTGTGGACCAGGGCCGGGCCTCCCCCTGCGCCCGGCCTTCCGGCTTTCTAGCCAGCTGGGCCGGAAAGGAGGGTGCACCTGCCACTCAGGGTTCTCGAACTCTGGTCCCCAGGCGCGGGGAAAAGGGTCTTGTCATCTCCAGTGAGGTGGAGTGCCGACGACTTGAATTCGCCAACCACCAGGTTTGGCCTTGGAGGGCAAAGCCCCTGATGAACCTAAGAGAACGTCCTGTTTAGAGGGTGACGTCTGGGTGAGCGCTCCGGGGATGGGGAAGCAGCTTCCCACAAGATAGGTGACAGGGCTGTAAACTGAGAAAGTGGCCTGGGGTGCGGGAACGTAAGGGTGGCGGGCTGATTGACTGTCATGGATTTGTTTGATCCTGAGGCTTTGACTTCCTGGTCGAGAAGTTGGGTCACTGTAAAATACGGCGTCCTCACAGGAAAAGAAGTGGATTTTTTTCTTTTGTTTGTTTGTTTTGTGGCATTTGGGGTTTTGACTTGGAAACACATTACACAGGAGAAAAAGGAATTTCCTGCAGCCAAATATATACAAATCTCCTTCCTTTCTATTGAAAGAAGAAAATGTCTCTTTTTCTTAGAGAGGACAAGTTCTTTCACCTACCTTCCCAGTGCCATAATCTTCTGCTTCATTTACCTGGTTTTGTTGTTGTTGTTGTTGTTCTCTGTGTGTTGCATGCCACAGTACACCTGTAGAACTCAGAGGATAACTTGTGGGCCTCGCTTCTCTCCTTCATGAGGTTTCGTAGGAATCAAACTCAGGTCCTTGAGCTTGGCAGCAGACGCATTCCTGCTGAGCTTTCTCAATCTCTTTATCTTTGTTTTTACCTGCTTGCTACTTCTATCTAAGCACTGCATTGCAATTTCTCCTTTTCAACATCCTATAGAGCCACCATTAAAATCACCCTAGCAAAGATCGCCAATGTCCTCTTGACCCTCAATCATATATTCTTGGCATGGATAAAAAAAAACTACTTCTGGGAGCAGGAGATGGCTCACCAGTTAAGAGCATTGCCTGTACTTTCAGACGACCTAAGTTCAATTTCCAGCACTCACGTAGTGGGTAACAGCTGTCTTTAACTCCAGTCCCAGAGGATCTTTTCTTCTAGATTTATGTGACTGGGGGGTGGCAGGGGGGATGCTGAAGAGCTGGCTCACTAAAGAGTACCTGCTGTTCTTGCAGAAAACCCTAGTTCAGTTCCCATCATCCACAGTGGCTGGCTCACTACCTATAACTCCAGAGGGTGTGGCCTCTGAAGACACCTTCACTCATATGGCATATACTCACAGAAATGCATACATATAAAAACAAATTTTAATTTTTAAAAAATGGGTTGTGAGCTGCCTGGGATGGGTGGGTGTTGAGAACCGAGTCTGGTCCTCTGCGAGCTTTCCGTCCCATGCCCCTGTATCTCCATCTCAGGAGATCCACTGCCCCTTCTGGCCTTCCTGGGCACTGTGCTTACATGCACAAACCAACTCTTATATATAATACACATTTAAATTAATGAAAAAAATCTTCTAAAAACAATTTGTAGGGACAATGGATAAGAGATTGGCGTTTTAAAAGATCCTCGGTAAGGAAAAGAAAAATTTTAAAAACTTTTGGAGATTTCTTTGTATTACTTTTAATTGTGCATTTACATGTGGGAAGGTGCACATGAATGTAGTGTCCATGGAGAGCAAGGGCAGTTAAGATCTGCCTGACTTGAATCTGGCTTTTTGTTTTTCAAGACGGGTTTCTCTGTGTAACCCTGGAACTCCTTTGTCAACTAGGCCGGCCTCTGCCTTCCCAGTACTGGAATTAAAGGTGTGTGCCACCTCGCCCAGCCAGAATCTGATCAGTCTTCTGTTCCTGCTCTTAACCAACTGAGCCACCTCTCCAACCCAAAGAAAAACACAGTTTGACCTCTTTGTACCATTCCTCTACTTCAGTCCCTGCAGATCTCTCACAGCCCTTCCCCTTCACCTGCATCTTAGTCTCTTCTTAGTTCCTCTTCCTTGACTCGCATGCCACTCAAATACTGTTCTGTTCTTTCATGTACGTTTCTTACTATATACATAATTTTTGATATAATTTTTATATTTGTAATTTCCATTAACAACATACCAGTCTCTTTGAATCATCAGACCTATATACATTGATTGAATAATATACTTATTTGAATCAAATATATTACGAATTGGGTCAAATCATGTATGGCTAGGGCTTTCATCTTATTTCTACACAACATACCCAAACTTAAATACATTTTTGCTCAAAACCTGTTCATTTTACTCCATTTTGTTAACCTTCTAATATGGGCTCCTACTGTTGCTCATCTCGTGTGTGTGTGTGTGTGTGTGTGTGTGTGTGTGTGTGTGTGTGTGAAAGAGAGAGAGAGAGAGAGAGAGAGAGAGAGAGAGAGAGAGAGAGAGAGAATATAGTGCACCTTGTGAGTGCAATGTCTGAAAAAGCCAGAAGAGGGCACTGGACCCATGGGCACTAGAGTTACAGACCGTAATAAGCACCTGTGAGTTGCAACCCCTTTGAGGAAGGTCGTCAAGACCATTGAAAAACACAGATAATTTTACTATGATTCATAACTGTAGCAAAATTACAGTTATGAAGTAGCAACAAAATAATTTTATGGTTGGTATCAGCACACCATAAGGAACTATATTAAAGGGTGGCAGCATTAAGAGGGTTGAGAACCTCTGGGTGTGAGTGCTGGAAGTCAGACTCTGATCCTCTGAAAGTACACCCAGTGCTCCGAGCTTTCAAGCCATGCAGCCCCATTATCACTGATCTCTTAACTGTGTCTAGCCAGAAAGCTCTGAGGATCTGTCTGTCTCCAACACCTCCACCCCCACCCTTTACTCCACTGTTAGTTTTTATAATGGTGCTGGGGATTCAAAGGTCCTCACACTTACATGGCAGGCACTTTACTGACCTTGCCATCTTCCCATCCCCCGTTCCCGCTTTAGAGATCTTCCATCCTATCCCTCCATTATGCTTCGTGCAGGAGGAACATCAAGTGCAGTGAATGACGTTTGTTCCTCTTGCTTGAGAGCCTGAGGCAAGGGATTTCTTGACCCCATGAGTCCAGCAGCATAAGACCATATCTAGAAAGAAAACAGAATACACTTTATGTTTTAGACACTTGATTCCAAAGATATTTTAACTTTTGTAATTGCATTACTTGTAAGACCTTGGGATGAATGTACATTTAGTAAAGAGGATTCATGAAGCAACAGTTAAGCTACAATCAAAATTCTGATGGGAGTGTTTTGTGATTCAAAAGTCACACACACACAAAATGGTTGTGGTGGTTCCTTTGTAGTTTTCCAAGAAAATTCAATAAAATAAGTAACAAAATAGCAACTAAATGCATAAGTGATAAAGAAATGAGCTAATTTTTCTGCTCCATGTGGTGTTGCTTAGTCGTTATGTGCTTTAGGAAATTGGTCATAATGTGAATAGGTAAACTAAGGTCTCCTTTCCTGTTATAGATAGTTAGATTTTCTTTTCTTTTGATTTTTTTGTTTTTCAAGACAGAATTTCTCGGTGTAGCTTTGGAGCCTGTCCTGGAACTCAATCTATAGACCTCACAGAGATCCTCCAGCCCCTGCCTCTCAGGTGCTGGGATTAAAGGCGTGCGCCACCACAGCCTGGCTAAAATGGATTTTGAGCCAAGTGCTGTTGAGTGCTGGAAATGTTATTCTCTCATCTCGGCACAAAGGATTAACAACAGTAAATCCAGTGGTTGGTTTGACAGCCCTGTATTCTGAAACCTGAACTGCTGCCAATAAACACAACTTTGGTGGAAACTTTCCTGGAAAGAATTTTTCACCAGCTTAAGAAAATGAGTGGAGATCTAGCTCTAAAATATAGAAACTAGTCAAAAACAAGCAGCCCTCTTAGGGAGTGTTGTGATACTTCAGTGTGCTGTGTTCCATAAGGCTAGTGGTTTGAAATAACCTGGGTCACTTCTTTTATTTATACTGTAATCTATTAAACTCTCAGCACAAAAACTAGAACATGTTTGGTTTCTGTTTGGAAGCGTCAACTCTTCCTCTTAAACCAAGTCAAAATAGCACTACTATCTAGTATCACAACCAGAAGTGGGTGTTTAGATTAATTCAAATTAGCAAATTTTGCAATTTACAAATTCCAAGTTTGCAATTTCCAAGCTATCCTGGACTACATAGTGAGACTATCTCAAAAAATAGTTAATATTTCAGTACCTTAGTTGTCTTTGCTACATTTTTGTTGCATTTCTTTTTTGAGACAGGATCTCATATATCCTGAAGTGACTTTAGTTGCCTGTGTTTATAGTCCCGGCTGGCCTTGAACCCCTAATCTTCCTGCTTCCACTTCTCAAGTGCTGGGACTTCATGTTAGCTACATATCTAGTGCACAGCAGTAAGTGTATTCAATGATTGCCATATTGGACAACACAAACAAAGGCTATTTCCTTAGCTGCTGAAGACCTAATTGGCACTGTGTTCAAATGTGTGCCTGCTGATTAGTGTATAAGAAGCAGTTAAGAACAGGAGCTCAGAATTCAGCTGTTCAGATCTAGCTGGCACTGTGATAATTGCCATAATTGTCATCGTATACAATGAAGATAAAGCAGTTAGACAGCTTTCAGTTGTCCCCTTGTTGCACATTTGACAAATATTTTTCTATTGTTGTTTTGTTGGTTTTTTTTATGTTTTTAAGAAAAGGTGTCATATGTCCCATACAAACCTCAAACTTGCTATGTAATACACATGAAAAATACCATGGTCAAAAGCAACTTGGGAAAGAAGGGATTTATTTGGCTTTCACATCCTGATCATAGTTGTTCATTGAGGGGAGTCAGGGCAGAACTATGGAGGAAAACTGCTTAGAGGCTTGCTCAGCTTCTTATAGAACCACCTGCGATGGGTTAGCACTACCTGCAGTGGGCTGTGTCCTCTTAAATGGCCAACAGATATTCCCACAGAAGAACAGTCTGATGGAGCAGTTCCTCAACTGAGATTTCCTCTTCCAGATTTATGTAGCTGTGTTAAGTTGGCAGAACTAACCAGCACTTTAGATTACATTGATTAACTGTCCTGTGTTCAACCAAACTTGCATTTTTTTAAATATTTATTTATTATGCATACATTATTCTGTCTGTGTATATGCCTGCAGGCCAGAAGAGGGTACCAGACCCCATTACAGATGGTTGTGAGCCACCATATGGTTGCCGGGAATTGAACTCAGGACCTTTGGAAGAGCAGGCAATGCTCTTAACCTCTGAGCCATCTCTCCAGCCCCCAAACTTGCATTCTTGGAATTAACTATAAATTTAAAATTTGTTGCTGAATTTAGCTTTGTAATATTAAGACTTTTCCATCTGTGTCCATGAGAAATACTGATCCGCAATTGCTTTACATTTTCTTACATTACATTACGACACTTACATTGCTTTGTCTGTTTTTTATGTCATCACAGTATGACAAGGATTTTTTCATACAATATATTTCTATCATATTCTTTGTCCTCCACATACATAAGTCCTCCCCATATATCCCTACCCACCCAACTTCATGTTCTCTCTCTCCAAAAAAAAAGAAGGAGGAAGAGGAAAGAAAACAAATAAAAACACAGTAAGACAAAAAAAAATAACAAAACAAAAAAGTACACACACACAAAATGGAGTCCTTCTTGTGTTGACCAGATATGCCTGTGCATGGAACCTACCCTAGAGTGTGGTTGATAAACCCAGTGGTACTCTGTTGGAAAAAAATTGGTTTTCCCCTTCCTGGCAGGTATCAGTTGCAAGTAGCTTCTTGCTTAGGGGTGGAACTTGGTGTCTACTTCGCTTTCTCCATGCTGTGATTTTTATCTGGTTTGAGTTTGTAGAGGTCTTTGTGTGGTATGTCAGTTTCTGTGAGCTCATATGTGTCTGGAAGATGCTGTGTCCTTGGAGCTGTTCACCACTTCTGGTTCTTCAGATTTTTGTCTCCTCTTCTCCTTAGCTCCCTGAGTCTTGAGGGGTGGGTGTGATAAAGACATCTCATTTAGGGCTGAGCAGTCCAAAGTCTCTCACTCTCTAGACATTGTCCAATGGTGAGTCTCTGAGTTTATTACCATCTACTACAACTGCATTTCAATGTCCAGTAAGTACAAGCCCCTTTTTTCTTTCACAGAAAATGATCCACAGTCTATTTCTCATCAACTGCTCTGGCGACATATTTCTAGAGAAACACTGGAAGAGTGTGGTGAGCCAGTCTGTCTGTGACTATTTTTTTGAAGCTCAGGAGAAAGCTGCGGATGTTGAAAATGTCCCACCTGTCATTTCAACACCTCACCACTACCTCATTAGTATCTACCGGGATAAGCTCTTCTTCGTGTCTGTCATACAGACGGAAGTGCCACCTCTCTTTGTGATTGAGTTTCTGCATCGAGTTGCTGACACTTTTCAGGTTTGTAGCCATCAAACTGTTGTAACTAAATCACCCAGGAAAATGCAAGGGGAGATTGCTTATGTTTGTCATCTAAGTTTCTGATGTGTACAGTGTGGCTTTTCTCTCTAAACCTAGTCTCATAAGCACTTAGAGAGTGTGCAGTCACACACATTGCTGCTCTGTCCGTGGTTTTTGTGTGTGTGGCAAACTATACCATGAGGAAATAGAATGTCCTCCACTTAGAATTCTCTGGATCATCACAAAGATTTATTGGTCATGAGCTCTTCTATATTTACGTTTTCAATTTTCTCTTGTTTTGATAAATAAAGCAAATGGCTTAAGCTTTATATGTGCTTAGGAGTGGGTTTATTAGGGCTAATGAAGTTTATAGCTTACATTTCAGTACTTTCTAGCATGACATATAATAGGAATCAATATAAATACAGTTAGAAAGTATTGAAGAGAAATGTTTGGCTTTCTGATGTAGGTGGGTCTTCTGTCTATGTGTTACTTTCATTGGTCAAATAAAGAGACTGCCTTGGCCTTTGATAGGGCAGCAGCTTAGATAGGCGGAGTAGACAGAACAGAATGCTGGAAGAAAGAGCAGAGTCAGGTAGACGCCATGCTTCTCCTACCCAAGACGGACTGTGGTTAGAATCTTCCCGGTAAGCCACCACTTCGTGGCTTATTAGAAATGGGTTAATCAGGATGTGAGAGTTAGCCAAGAAGAGGCTAGAATTAATGGGCCAGGCAGTGTTTAAATGAATAAAATTTGTGTGTTGTTATTTCCAGGGCCTAGCCATGCAGGAGCCGGGCGGGACGAAAAGCAGGCCTGAGAGAATTTTTTTATTTCTGTGTATTTCTAAGGTCTCAAACCATGAGTTACTTGGCTTATTCTTGAGAAGAAAGGGTATTATAAGGAAAAGCAAGCTTTTCTCCATGCTTTCTGTTGTTCAACATTCTGATTCTTTTGTTAGGACTACTTTGGTGAGTGTTCAGAGGCTGCAATTAAGGATAATGTGGTCATAGTGTATGAGCTCTTGGAGGAAATGCTAGACAATGGATTCCCGCTGGCTACGGAATCTAACATTTTGAAAGAACTAATTAAACCACCAACAATTCTACGTTCCGTCGTCAATTCTATCACAGGTATGAAAGATGAAACAGTCTGCTAGAACTGATCCATTGAAATTTTATGAACAGCCATTTTGTTCATATGACAGACTATTAGGGTAGTCTGATTTGGCCAAAATTAAAATTACCAATAATGTTAAAATGAATGTATTTTTTATTTTCTCTCTGTCTCCTCTCTCTTCTCTCCTCTCTCCTCTCTCTCTCTCTATCTCTCTCTCTCTCTTTCTCTCTCTCTCTCTCTCTCTCTCTCTCTCTCTCTCTCTCTCTCTTTCTCTCCTTCTCTCACTCTCCCTCAATTCAATCAAGTCTTCAGGCATGGCAGCAAAAGCCTTTACCCACTGACACATCTGACCAGCCCACTTTTTGTTTGGAGAGAGAGCAAGAACAATAACAAAAGCAGATATATGAGGTCAGGTGTAGCTCATGTGTAATCATATGCATTTAGGAGGCTCACTAGTGGGTTGATAAGTTCAAGACCAATCTGGGATACAGAGTGAGAAATATGTTTCTTTTATTAAGAGAGGCCTAATTTGTATGACAGAACTTTTAGAGCCATAGCTCAGTGGTAGTATTTGCCTATTTTTGGGTTCAATGCCCAGTATTTCAGACACGAAAAACTAATAAAGTAAGTAAAAAATTAGTTTGTAGAATTCATACATAGTAGGCTTTCTGCTTTTGTTACAAGCTTCCAACTGAATTTTATTTCTGAACCATACCTTGAAATTACATATACTCAGATAATCTCTTGAGACTTTAAAAATCTTCGGAAAGAGTGGGCTTGGGACAGAAGCCTTTAATCCAGCATTCAGGAGATAGAGGCAGGTGTATCTCTATGAATTCGAGGCCAGACTGGTCTACTAAGAGAGCCCTAGGTCAGAGCTAGACTGTGTCCAAAATTAAAAAAGAAGTCTTCTGGAGGAATGTTACATGTCACTCCAACTACACTGTCCATAGTTAAAATATCTAAAGATTTAAAGAGCAATTTCATACTTCGGGGATATTGTAGTGAGACACTGGGAAACAATCATATTATTAAGTAGGGGGAAAAAACAGGACAAAATAGAAAAACAGCACAAACTCATAAAAGATATATATATTATTTTGTTGTTTTTGTTTGTGTGTGTATGTATATACAGATAAACATATATATAATTTACAAAGATAAAATCCTAAAATGGCAAGTCAGTGATGGTGGCTTTTTTAATCCAGCACTCAGGAGGCAGAAGCAGACAGATCTCTGAGTTCGAGGCCAGCCTGGTCTACGGAGTGAGTTCCAGGGCAGCCAGCACCATTACACAGAGAAACCCTGTCTTAAAAAACAAAACAAAAAAATCTAAAATGTATACATTGTTTATCTCTAGCTAAAACATCTTTATTTTTGCTTTATATGTTTTTAGATATATGTGTGTGTGTGTGTGTGTTGAGTGTGCACAGAGCATTAGGTGTCCTGCTCTATCACTGTCACCTGGCTCCTTTTTTTGAGACAAAGTCTCTCACTGAACCTGAAGCTAGGCTGGTTGCCAGCAAGCCCCAGCCATCCTGTATTGACCCCCACAATGTTTGGGACATAGGTGTGTGCACAGCCACCCCATCATTTATGCGGAGCTGGGATCTGGACTCAGGCCTTCGTTTTTCCATAGCAAGCACTTCTATCTACTGAGCTATCTTTCCAGCCCACTTTGTATTATTTAACTTTCAAAAAACTTACTAATGTATAATAATAATACTATAGCATGGATTGAAAAAGTTTAAGAGAATGGTTCAGGCTGGATGTGGTGCTGCATACCTGTAATCCCAGGTACTAGGGCAGCTAAAGGAGAACAAATATGAGTTCGTGGCTAGCCTGGGGTACAAAGTGAGAAAATATAATACACTGGGCTATACTTCCTTAGTAGAGTATGCTTATGATTCTGTTTCCTAGTACCACACATATATACACAGACCAAAGAATGGTTCAGTGGATGAAGTAATCTTTCTTGAACTACCAGGTGACCCTAACACATGGCCCTGCAGAATCAGTAGATTGTAGAAGTAGATAAATGAGAACTTGTATGAGGAAAATACACATGAAATGGAAGGCGGGATTATATGTGCCCCTCTAACAGAAGTAGAGCTTTTGTAATTGAACACTGAAAGCACACACTTAGGTGAGACTGGGCTGAGTATGACGTGGGAAGCTGAGGCGGGGTAATACTTGTTCCTACGGCTAAGCAGAATGTTTAGCTTTTGTTAGAAAGCAAGTAGGAAGCATAAAGGTTTCTAAACAGAAAAATAATCTGATTAAAGCAGTATTTTTCTAATACTCTTGGAAAGTAACAGGCTGGAGACAGGAATACCAGCAATAGACTATGAAATGAATGTTAGCCTTGTTAACCAAGCTTAGTAACACATGCCTGTAATCCTAGCATGTAGAAGGATCCCTAGTTCTTAGCCATCCTGGGCTATAGACATTCCTTGTCTTAAAATCTAATCTAGATTTGAACATACTGTATTACTGTGTAGCCAAAAATGACTCTGAACTTCTAATCCTCCCACCTCCACCGTCCCACAAGTGTTGAGGTTAAAGTGCTAGAGATTGAACACAGGGCTTCATGCATACTAGGCAAGCACTCTGAAACCATATGTTATATTTGGTTAAATTTGATGTGTGTGTGTGTGTGTGTGGTTTTTGGAAGCAAGGTGGTCATAGTTTGCAGATGAGGCTGGCTTTACACTAGCAGTCCTCCTGCCTTAGTCTCCTGAGTGTTGGGAGTATAGGAATGTGCTGCCTGGCTTGCAACCTGTTTTCACAAGATAGGGTCTTGTAGCTCCTACTGGCCCAGAACTCACTATGTAGACCAGGCTGGCCTCAGACTTACTGCCATCCTCCTACCTCTGCCTCTCAAGTGCTAGAATCATAAGAAAAAAAAAAAAAAAAAAGAGAAAGGGAGGGAGGGAAAAGAAAGAAAAGCAGAATTAACAAAATAAGAAAAAGTGGTAATGTTACTTGTTGTAATATGAGTGGCGGGCTGCGTCCCACTTTATACCCAAAATAATTACACGGAAACTGTATTCATTTAAACACTGCTTGGCCCATTAGTTCTAGCCTCTTACTGACTAGCTCTTACATATTGATCTAACCCATTTCTAATAATCTGTGTAGCCCACGAGGTGGCTTACCAGGGAAGATCTTAACCCATCTGGAGTGGGAGAATCATGGTGACTCACTGACTTGGCTTTTTTCTCCCAGCATTCTGTTCTGTTTACTCTGCCTATCTAAATTCTACCCTATCAGTGGGCCAAGCAGTTTCTTTATTAATTAACCAATGAAACAACATATAGAAAGATGACCCTCCTCCACCAGTTACTGATGAGTAAATATTTAAAGAAATATACCTGTATGCTAATAGTAGTTGATGTTAGTAGAAAACATAAATGTTTGATTGACTTACTATCTTTTACTGCATGAGTTCCTTTTGAATTAAAAAATATAGACTAACCAAAATGTGGAGTAAGTCCCAGTAAAAGAGTTTGTGTTTGCAAACCATACATATGCAGTTTGTCAGGAAGCTAACCAGATAAGAATATTAGCCACATTTCAGCCAAAATGGTGTGCTGACCTTAAGGCAGGTTTTGGTTTTTTTGGTTCTGTTTTTGCTCTACTGGAGATAGAGCATAGAGCTATGTGCATGCTAGGCAAATGCTCTACTAAAGAGCTACAATCTCAATGGTGTGGTGATGTTGAAATGGGAATAAGCAAAAATATGTTCTTCATCTAGTTACTCCACAGAGACCAACATGGCAGCATCTCATGTAGAATTCCCCTGAATACCAAAGAACCAGGTTTTCTTCCCACTAGGTTGTTCAGCAGCCAAGCCTCTTTTTCATTGCTGGCAGCAGTACAAGATTCTGTTGTTGAGCCATTAGAATTAGCTTGGGTTACTGCTACACAAAGAAAGCAAAAGATGAGTGAATGCATTTATCTTGGTCTAACAGGTAGACAGGACATGGCCCATCTCTATCCTCTTGATGGAATATGTCTTCAGCAGTTCTAGAGTCCTCAACTGCAGTGAAGGAAAATCCAAATGCAAGGCAGATGCTAAAGCATCCTTTTTCCATTGTTTTCTGATGACTATAACACACATCATACTTTGCTTTCTTTTCTAATTTCTAGGCAGTAGTAATGTTGGGGACACACTCCCCACTGGGCAGCTATCCAACATCCCATGGCGTCGAGCAGGAGTAAAGTATACAAACAATGAAGCCTATTTTGATGTAGTTGAAGAAATAGATGCAATTATAGATAAATCAGGTAATTATGTGCATCTGGTCCTCTGGGGAAGAAACAATTCAGTTGACATAAGTTGAACTGAAAACTGAAATCCCTCGGCAGGGTGATTTTAAGCAGAAAATTATTCTAACAATATATAAATCTATTTATTCTGCCCAAAGGTTACATTGTAATTATCATAACCACTGACTGAGGTAGTGCCAGGTATTTGTGAGTCCCTCTTGCAGCTTTCTCATCAGACAGGTATCACGTAGCTGTGGTCCCTGTGTTGCTCCCTGCTATGTATACAGTGCTTCAGCTAAAGGCTTCTTCTGGTTGCTTTTAACACTCAGGAGGCAGGGGCAGGTGGATCTGTCAGTTAAAGGCCAGTCTGTTCTACAGAGCTAGTTCCATGGCTCCAAAGCTACAGAGAAACCCTTTATTACCTTGTCTTCTTTCCATTGTAGCCTTCAGGCATACAAAATAATAAATCATGACCCCTGTTCCTTAAAAAGTAGCCTAAAGCTTAGTCTATTTCATGAGGAAACTGCTTCATTTTTAAATTCTGTTAAAATATTTTAAACGTCGATCCAAATAATCTTGACTCTCTAAAGAATTTCTTTTAACTCCTTAGAATTAGACTCTAGCCAGTTAGATGGAACCAGTGAGAAATGCTGTCAGAACTACTATTTCTCACACCCAGAATGTGTTTCCATTACTCCAGCTACAGTGAGGACTATGGAGACGAGCCAGATTCCATTAAGGTTATCAGCTTTCATTTCCTTCTCTAGGATCTACAGTCTTCGCAGAAATTCAGGGGGTCATTGATGCTTGCATTAAGCTCTCTGGAATGCCTGATCTCTCGCTCTCTTTCATGGTAAGTTTGATCTGCTCTATAGTCCCTTATATGCCTAGTACATTTGAAGTGCTAAGTGATGTGATAGTTCCTGAGGGAAGATTGTAGCTGAAGTTTGTTGATTTCGTATTTGTGTGTGTGCTTGACTTGGCTTGTATTTACCAGGGCACACATGTGGAGATCAGAGGACAACTTGCAGGAATTTATTTTCCCCTTCCACCATGTGGATCCTAAGAATCAAACTCAGGTCCTCAGCAAGTACCTCTACCTGTTAAGCCATCTCCCCGACCCTGGAGTTTATATTAGGTTACAGAGGGCTATCTCAAAAGATTCCTAGCTCATCTTTGCAGATAGGAGCTGACACACTGAACATGGCCTTTATGGAAAGGTCGAAGGGAGGTCTTTATCTCGAGTGTGCTAGAAGTGGCTCAGGATTTGCTGTGTAGCTTTTGCATCTCCACTGTCATTTTTACCAGATATTTACTCTGCTTATGTAAAGGAGCATTAATATTTTGCATCATATAGATTTAGCATGACACACTGCTCTAGGAGAAATGTGTTCTGGTTCTGTCTCGGGTACCATTTCTCTACTTTCTTCAACTTTAGTTTTCATCTGTGCAATGTAGATAATGCTACTTGCCTTTTCTCCCCATGGTTTATAAAGTTCAAGTAGTGTATATAAAACTATTTTGATATTATCATAATAAATTTTTACACTGCTTTTATGACTTAGGGAGCATAGTAACTTATCATAATATGTAAATACTGTTGTCATTCTTCTTATACTCTATACATATGTCTTTTTCTTTTCCTGACAGAACCCAAGACTTTTAGATGATGTCAGCTTCCACCCGTGCATCCGGTTCAAACGTTGGGAATCAGAAAGAGTTTTGTCATTTATTCCTCCAGATGGGAATTTCCGACTCATATCATACCGTGTCAGCTCACAGAAGTAAATTTGCCATCACAGTCCAGCGATTTGAATAGAACGCCCTGCTCTTGTTTCATTTTTATAGTTTAGTTCTTGAGTTTATCTTGGCTCACCTGGAGACCTAGTGAGAACTGGTGATAATATGTACCTGAAACAGTGTTTCTGGACCTAAAAGGGTAATAGTGAGGGAGAGGTTAAAATCTGTAACTAAAAACAACCCTTTGGATTATGCATGTTCTTGGCAAACCATGACTTTGGTGCCTTAATCCTGTCATGGTCTGTAAACTAAGAAGACATCCACACCCTAAGATAACCCTCCGCTACCTGCTTCACATTGAGTTTGGGGATAGGACCTCAAACTCTGGATCCTCTGCCTCAGCCTCCTAAGTGCTGGGATTATTGAGTTTTAAACAGTTAAACGTTGTCAGCTGTAGCTAACTTGTCCCTTTAGAATATCAGAAAGCATTTGGGTAACAAAACTGAAAGTTTTTTCTGAGAAATTATTTCTTAGCACTTTTCTTTTAATGGGCTCGTGTGCGGCCCCCCCCCCCAAGTATAACCCTCTACCCCAGTTGTTTATACTGTATTTAAACCAGATTTCTGCTTTGACTTATGTTAGTTATCAATCCATACAGTCCTAGCACACTGGTACAGAACACTGAGTTCTGTACTGGTACAGAGGCTGCATTCTGCTAGGGTATATGGCCCTGTGGTACAGTCACAGACAGCATGGAACACATACCACCTCTGCAGTTGTCCTGTACCTTTCATTGTGTACATACCTGGACATAAGTACTTTTGTATGTTTCTCTGTGTCTCTTTTAGTCTAGTGGCAATACCAGTGTATGTGAAACACAGTATCAGTTTTAAGGAAAACAGCTCTTGTGGCAGATTTGATGTAACAATTGGACCAAAACAGAATATGGGAAAAACTATTGAAGGAATCACAGTGACTGTTCACATGCCAAAAGTTGTGCTGAACATGAACCTGACACCAACACAAGGCAGCTACACATTTGATCCAGTAACCAAGGTACAGCCACTTCAAGTCAAGAGTGAGCAAGTATTCTGCGATCTGTTTGTGGTGGGTGTGGAGGGCATAGCAGAAGGAGAGCCGTGTCCTTACCTTGCCTCTAGCTAAAGGTTTTCAGAGGACAGTAAAAGATGATTTTCTCTCAGCTGCTTTGCTTCCATAGCAAAATGTGGTAAGTTTTCAACAAAAAAATGAGTGCTTGATGATAAATGAGGTGTGTTTTGTTTGAGATGGAGGAATCTTACTATATAGCCCAGGCTGGCCTAGAACTCAAGAGTTCTACATCAAAAGCATGTGCTACCACACATAGCTGAGAAAGTGTAATTTTGCATAATTTCGTAATTTTTTGGGTGGTTGTTTTGTCTTGATTTTTGTTTTCTGTTTTTTTGTTTTTGTTTTCTTTTTTCCTCATTGTAGTCCTGGCTGTCCTGGACTTCACTATGTAAACCACGCTGACCTGGACTCATAGGCATCCACCTGCCTCTGCCTTCTGAGTGCTGAAATAAAGGTGTGTGCTAAACCTTTTTTTTTTCATTTGTTCTTTTTTTTTTTAATTTTTTTATATTCATTCATTTATTTTTATTATGTATACAATATTCTGTCTGTGTGTATGCCTGCAGGCCAGAAGAGGGCACCAGACCCCATTACAGATGGTTGTGAGCCACCATATGGTTGCTGGGAATTGAACTCAGGACCTTTGGAAGAGCAGGCAATGCTCTTAACCACTGAGCCATCTCTCCAGCCCCTTTTTTTGGTTTTTCGAGACAGGGTTTCTCTATGGTTTTGGAGCCTGTCCTGGAACTAGCTCTTGTAGACCAGGCTGGTCTCAAACTCACGGAGATCCGCCTGCCTCTGCCTCCCGAGTGCTGGGATTAAAGGCGTGCGCCACCATTAAAGGTTTAGCACACAGCTGGGCGGTGGTGGACAGGCTCCAAAGCCACAGAGAAACCCTGTCTTGAAAAACCAAAAAATAAATAAATAAGGTGTGTGCCACCACACAAAGCATTAGAAGATCTTCTAACCTTGGGCTGGGGAGATGGCTCAGTGTCTAAGAACATAAACTGCTATTGTAGAACACGCAAATATGGTTCCCAGCAACCACAATGGAGCTACACAACTGCCTGTAACCTGCTCCAGGGGATCCCATGCCCTCTTCTGGTCTCTGTGGACTCTGTGTTCACATGTGCAACCCCATATAGACACACATGTACACATAAATAAAAGTAAAAACTTAAAAATGAACATCTAACATTAAGAATTCAAGAATCTTCCCAGGGATCATGTAAGTCTAAGCAGAGGAGTTCCACATCCTTGGTCCTCCACTCCAACTACAGCCATGCTTTTATCTATTACTCAGTTTCCACACAGGTAATTTCACTTAACAAAGGAGCCTGTGGCTGAAAGTTTAATGATAGTAACGTAAGTCAGGGTTTCTCCTGTTTTCTAAGACACTGCTTTATTTTGTGTAGAAGCTTACAGCGTCTGTTAACCTCTGAGCATGTCTTTAAGACGTGGTTAAGATTTTTTTCCTCTTGTCTTTTTAAGGTACTAGTATGGGATGTGGGGAAAATTGCTCCACAGAAGCTCCCAAGTCTTAAAGGACTGGTAAATTTGCAGTCAGGAGCTCCCAAGCCAGAAGAGAACCCCAGCCTCAACATACAGTTCAAGATCCAGCAGCTTGCTATTTCAGGTAAAGCCAAGTTTGCTGTGTGGCTAGGAGAAACTGGAACCAGGAGTTTGGAAGAGTTCTGACAGTTCTACGCTAGGAAGAGCAGCAACTCCAGTTTACCTGCTGTGGTGCGGCCTCCAGGCACCAGAATTTGGGAGGACGGCTTATTTCAGTCTTTATCACACATGCCCCAGAGAAGCAGTCCTTTGTGTTCACAGAAGTAGAATTAGCTAGATTCACAAGCATTTTTCTGGCCAGAGTATATGCATGGGTGATGGAAAAGGGGCATTGTTTCCAAAATGATGAACGGAGCACTGTCCATGTCACATCTAGGGGTCAGTGTTCACTGCTGATGAAGTCCTGTGTTATTACTGGGAGAGTAATGATTTGCTTCATTCTTTTTGACACAGGCTTAAAAGTGAACCGCTTGGACATGTATGGGGAGAAATATAAGCCATTTAAAGGAGTCAAATATGTCACAAAAGCTGGGAAGTTTCAAGTGAGGACATGAGAAGAGGCCAAATTTCCTCAAGATGTTTGTTTTTCAAGTGTAATTACAATTTATTACTATTAGGTACCGAGTGGGTGGGAATACATATAAAGCATTTGTGTCAGGCTACACTGCTAACAGAGTTGCTTAGTATCAATGTAGGGTTCTTAAGGAGCTTTAAGCTAAGGAAAGTTTTCTAAAGACTTAGCTTATTTTGTATCTTTTCACTTAGGAAAAGATTTAGATTTCTTCCAAGGTGCCACAAGCTGAATGCTGCACATTGTAACAGTAAAGACAGAGGGCTGCAGCGGTAGCCTCTCTCCTGAAGCCAGTGATATGGTCTCATCCACCAGCAGGAACTGGTGTGTGTAGGGTGCAGCCAAACTTCACACCTTCTGATCTTAGCCATCTCAAGTCAGTGTCTGTCCCACGAAAGGAGATTCCCCCACCCCACGAAGTTTACAGAAAACTGCCTCTTCAAGTGTTTGCCTTACTCAGCTTTTCACTTGTGCCATTAAGCAAGCACTGTAGCAAAAGCCACTTTCACATGGCTCCGTGCTCCATTCTCACTGTACTTGGTATTCTATTTTTTATAAATAAGATTTTTATGTAAAGCTCAGATTTTGATTTACAAGGACCTTGCTGCAGTAGATACACCATCAGCTGCTAGATAGCACAGTCAACATCATTTGCATCAAAAGGGGCAAATACTTTATTAAGATAATAAAAGGGAACACTACTTCTGCTTATAGGAAGTTATTGCAGGCACAAGTGTGCTTTTAAACAAATTAAAGTAGTAAAAGAAAATTAAGCAAAACCTTGCCATTTCCATGTTTCAGTAAAGCTTTATCTAATGCCACTGTAACCTAGTTAGCCTGAAAGTCTTGTGTCCTAGTTCAGCAGGAGAAAACCGTGTCTGCTTCACTACTACTGTTCTTTCTCTTCTCAGTCTTTTATCTTTCTGTGCTTAACTGGTTGGATTTACCTGTATGCCCTGTATTTGGAGGAGCTCCTTTTCATAGTACGTATATCCTGAGGCCATTGTGATAGGCACCTTTCCTAAACTTCCCACCTTGTCAAAATGCGACTGGAGCAGTTAAGTGTCTTTGTTGTACTGTGTACACGAAGAGCATTACTGAAGGACAAACATTCTCAGTCATGATTTATACCAATCGATTGTAACATGGGAAACTTGTCTGTGACTCATTCCGTTCTACATCATTGGCTTGGAAATCCTTTATGCAGGGACTTTGCCTCATTAGACATGAAAATGAGGGAGGCGGGAAGTTAAGATATAAGTGTTGCTCTTCCTGTTTCCCTTGATTTTCTTTAGACTTAGTTTTCTTATCCTGTGGCCCATTGTTTTCTTCCATCTCTCTGACAGTCCCTGTTGGAGTGCTGGTGATACAGTAGCATGGTTACTGTTGCCCTCATCGAATAAGGCCAGCTTTTGCAGCTTCAAATAGAAATTACTTGAGTAACCAATCTTAGATTGGCAGCTTTAAGTCAAAATGCAAAATATCTAATCGCTTTGACTTAGATTGGTTATCTAGCTCTAATTTAAATATCTTGTCTTTTACCTCAAAAACAATTTTGACAGTTGAATTTCTTCGCAATCCCTGTCTCACCATCAATACCTAGACTGTCCAACATTCCTCCTGTGCAGTCTTGTCTTTCAAAGTGGAACATATACCAAGAGTCCCTTGTCTCTAATAATTTCTGCTAAAACAGCCAAGCAGACTGTGTTCCTTTACAGTTAAATTGTTGTACTTATTAATTTGATAGAGCCCAGTAAGTCCTTTTCGTAGCTCTGGCTACAATGTCAATAAAAATATGAACGCAACAAACTGATTTTTTTTTTAAGTTTGATTGTTGATGGAACATTCTCATATCCAGGCTGAGTTAGAGCCAGCTGCATGGGATCAGTTTCTTCTGTATCACAAGTATTACAGTTGCTTAACAACATTTAGGAGGCCTTTTCCTAAGTAGAGCATATCCACAGCCATTCATCATTTTAAAGTGGTCCCTTTTTGGTCACAGACTTAGTGATAAAAGTGATAAAAACTATACCTTCATTACATCACTTCCCATATAGACTCAAGATGTTTAAACACCTGAGTTCTGGTTAATCTAGCATATTCCCCTTTTCTTTGTTCTTAAGGAACCATAATCTAAAAGCAAATAAAACATGCTTATTTTCTGTGTGAGGTAGCCTGCCATACACGTACACATGGGGAATTCAGCTGGTGGTTCATTCCTTAAATGTTGAAGAACACTGGAAATATGCTAGTTTTGTTTTCCTTAGAAGCAACTGGTTAGAAGAACACTACAGTATTGGCTAAGTGAACTCCACAGCCTTGGACACAGGCTGCAATCCACTTCTCCAGTTGGGAACTTCTCAGTCAACACAATGATGAATTTCATCCTGCAATATTATTTAACTTCCTCCCCTTCACCCCCATTCTAGAAAATTAGGCAAAAACATGTTTTTATTTTAGTCAGTGATTTTTCAAGCAAGAAGATCAGTGTGTATCCCAAGCTAGTTTTGACTCAGCCTTACTGGATCCTGACGACACTGTTCTATACTGGGTTTGGAAGGCACAAAAGTGCCCCTCACGTTTCACAACCTCTGCTTTTTAAGGGACAGTTATTGTCTCCAGTAATAGCTAAAACCTTCTAAAATGAAAGTTACTTCTACCAAGGGTAACCCACATATAGCTGCTTTGCCCACTGATAACTTATGGTTTCTGTTCCTTCTAATGTATAGGTGCCAAGATTGTCCTTTATCACATAGACCCTCTTATGTAAATATACTATTAATTTCCATTCCTTTATGGATTGAATAAAATCTTTAATTTTTTTTAATATTACCCAGATCCTGAGGATTCATCTCATTGGCTATTCTTCAGAAATAAGAATCTGACCTAAAGTTGTTAGTAAAATAGCACGTCCATCATTCAGAGAGTTATTCATATAAATGTATTTTATTTGTTTTAAACAGAACAAAAGAAAAGGCAGAAAATATCTGTATATAATAAATCCTAGCTTATAAATGTAGTTTTTGTTTTTTTAGTGGTAGCATCTCTAACTCGTTCACGACTGTAAGCACTGACACTCGAGGAAAGCACACCTGGCAGACGTGTGTCTCCAGCACTGGAAGAACTTGGAGAGCAAAAATGATTCTTCTTAGTTCCTCTAAGTAATCTTTAAAACAAAAGGTGATCTTTGGCATAGAGTCATACTTTAAAGGCATTGATATGCATTTATATCAGGTAATCAATTCTACAGATATGTTGAGAGCTTTGACAATAATCAGCTGAAAGGAAATAGAGGAAGCCTGAGTGTGCAGGATCAACCTAAGGTTTACACATTGAGTGTTGGGACTGAACGCAGTAGGTAATGGAGGAACATCCGGGAAGGGTCTCGCTCCATTCATCTGATTATTGACTTCTGAAAGTGATATTCATGTCCTTGGAAATGCTTGTGGATAAATACTGGGAAAGTCACTTTCTCTTTCTGATACTAGATATCATACTCATTACTCTTGAATATGTGGAGAGGAGGAAAGAGTTGGCTGTCCTGGTTAAAAGCAACTGGACTTACAGTAGCTCTGATTTACCCTGGCAGCACCAGCGTGGTGACCCGCACGTGCTAGCTCCTTCACACAAGAAGGCAGGGCTGCCTTCCATTCAAGGCTCTTAGGAGCAAGCCCTAGTTTGTAGGGCTTAATTTTGAATGGACCTTCCAAACTTAAAAGGAGCCAAGTGTGGGTGGTAGGTGCTAATACTTTGATGCAGGCAGATTGCTTGAATCCTGAAGCCCAAAGGCTAGCCTGACAGCATAAAAAGATCCAGTCTCAAAATTAAAAAATAAAAAGTGGGGGCTAGGGAGGATTACAGACAAACACATACCTATGTATCTTTAAAGTCTTGTTTAAGAAGCATATAGAAAACTGCCAAAGCCTGGGGTGATTTGGTTGGTTAAAAATAAATGCAGCATTTCAGCTCAGAAATGAAAGAAAAAGAAAGAGAGAGAGAGAGAGAGAAAAGAGAAAGAAAGAAAGAAAGAAAGAAAGAAAGAAAGAAAGAAAGAAAGAAAGACAGACAGACAGACAGACAGACTAAGAAAGAATGCTAAGGCGTCAGCACAGACCTCCACTGGCAGTGACAAAGCATAGAGAACCTGGGAGTGGCCCCATTGGGAGGATGGGCACGATCACACCCCAGCTACTCTGCCCCTCTCGAGGCAGAGAGCACCAGTGTGTTTGCTGGATGGTTACCTTGGCAACCAAGCAAGGCAGGATGTGAGGCAGGAAGTTTCCCCAGCACAGCTATTACTCAGGGGCATGGTGAAGCCAGAATAGTGATTTCTTCCTGGTTTTACATCGTGAGGAACTAGGATTACATGGGGGAAAGCAGGAAATGAATGCAGGCCACACAAGCTGACCCTCCCCAGAGACCACCTTATCCTGCGGTGATGATGCATGGCCCAGGGAAGGCAGGCAGGGTCAGCAGCAACATGGAAAACCCAAAATAACTTTTGGCAGCACAGTTAATTAACTGACTTGCCTCAACTCTAGTCTAGGGGCTAAAGGGGGAAAGGGAGTTGGTGAACTGTAAACAGAGGGCTATGTTCCCTGGAGCAGAGCATGGCTTCCAGATAGTGTTCACTCTTACTCTGAGCTTATGCAATCCATGGGCTAGAGACCCAGTCTACTGTGCACAGGAGTAACTGAGAGTACAGGGTTCATACAGAGACACATTTCAAAGTGTCTATGACAAGAGTGTAAATGTTTTCTATGTGAGAAGCCCCCATTCGTTTCTGGTGCGTGAGACCAGGAATTGATTTCTATTCCCAGTAACTGAAGTCTTCATTCCCTTCTCCCTAGCAGATGCTCATAGACCAGCCATGACTGGCTAGGCGCCTACTGGTACCAGGGAGTCTTTCTGACCCAGCGCAAAGTAAATCCAGCATCTGTTCGAATTTTGATTGAAGCAGCTTCTGCTTCTCGCACGGTCTCCTTCACAGACTGCATGAGGTTCTGGGCATTATGAACCAGCATCTCTGTGGCCTGTAATAAAAGAGGCCCATTACTAGAGTCCCCAATACCATGCTGCCCTCAAGAAACCATGAAGCCAGGCGTCAACTAAATTTTAAGTTCCATAGGGCAGATACCCTTTTCTTTTGTTCGCTGCTCTCCACTGTTTGGACAGGAGGCACTGAGTAAACAATGAACAAAAACAATCAAACCAACTACATTATAAATGTATTCACATTAATGTTCCAAACACACAAGCTTAGAGGTAGGGGTCTAGCTAGAAGTCTGCTCACATTCAGACAACTCAGTGATTCTCTAGGGCAGTAATTGTATCTTTAAGTCACAGATCTTTTGAGGACTTAATGAAGGCTCTAGGGTTTCCCAGAAAAATGTGTCACATGAGTTGAAACATGTGCATAAACTTCAGAGGGCTTTGGGGAAAGAACCTATCATCTGAATTCCTAATATTGCTTGTTATTAGGAAGGCTCTTGGGCCCAGAAAGGCTGGGAGCCATGCCAGCCAAACTCACACAAAGTCAGGGTCCCACTCAAGACTTCTCTCCTGTGTCCTGTGTTTGTCCCATTCTACCACGCTGTATCTACTCTTCTCCACTTAATGAAACACATAGTCTCAGCATGCATGCATGTTGTTAATTCATTTCCTGTGCATTAGCATGAACTGCAGTTGTGTCTTTCCTTTCCCAGCTTCTCCTATCTTTAGGCAGAAGACATCCCACTAAAGTAACCCAATACCAAACTCCACTTGCAATATCTGGAAGTTAGGGATATCGGGAAGGCGAGAGTTGAAATCTACTAACAGTAGTGTATAGGAGAGTGTCCTCCTTGTTCCTCGGGGTGCCCCTAGCCTCTGTAGAGGTCGGAAGCAGTTGGTCTCCCAAATTATCTGTGAGTTCCCTAATGGGAAGAGATTGTCTCCCTTGTTTTAACTTTTAAAATGATGATGGGTCTGCTGTGCTCTCTAAGGAAATGGGGAGTGTGACCCAGAGTAGGGCCCACCAGAGGGGAGATAAGAAAAGAGTGGGTTGCTGCATTTTTAATTCGAGGTACGTTTGTCTTAAAGCTAAGATTAAACAACAAAGAAGCTAGAGGCAGGGAACCCAGAGCAGCAGCACATACCTGCTCAGATTCCTCGTCGCTGATGTTGGTCCGGCCCAGCATGGTAGCCTTCACTGTGGACAAGATTTTGAGCTGGGTGCTTATAGTTGGGATTCTCTCACACACCTAAAGAGAAAGTTTCATTTGGTGTTTGTTAGTTGTCTTGCCCACAAGTTCCTTGGAGGCAGATATACCCAACTCCATTCCCAGTCATTGGCATGCAGGAGTACTCAATAAAGGACCAGCCCTGACCCAATTGGTTCATATATGGAGGCATTCAAATTCCACTGGGTTAAGACATAAACTTTCAGTCTGTTTTGTTTTGTTTTGTTTTGTTTTTATCCACACATTGCCCTTGCTGCTGTTTGCTTCCTTATTCACCCAAATTTCCTCTCACCTTTTCCCTCACATTCACGCTTCCCACTCAGATGCACTCTTTCTCTTCTCTTCTTTCTCTCTCCCTCCCTCCCTCCTCTCCTGTCTGGACACACGGACACACACACATGACTTATTTCCCCAAGTACCTGTAAGAGATTGGTTCTAATCCGCTTATCTGTACACTGCTTGGCAACCTCCTTGGCCAGCCGAGTCACCTCATCAGAGGCTTTTGCGATGTCCTTGGCACACTGAATAAGTGCCCGCTTGGTACCACTACCCCCTCTTACCAGCCGAGACATCTCTGCCATCAGCAGAGCCATGCGCTTGGCTGCTGCAATGATGTCATTGCCCTAGAGAGAAGCAGAGATACAGCATGAGCCCTGACCACATGCTGGTCAAGTTCAGTAGAAATACAGGAGGAAGTCTGCTGCTCTTGCAGCCTCTGGCAGGCTAAGGAAATGGAGAGAGCACTGGAGGGAGGACAGCGGAGAGAATGGGCACTTGCCCCAGCACTCGGGGAGAGAGGATATCCTGGATGAGAAGACCTAGAGATTAGTCTGAAAGGACGACGTGGGTGCCCCGGGCACAGCACTGCACAAGCAGTGGAGCATCTCCCGGTTAATTGTGTCAATAACACAGGGCCAGAGCCAAGGAGTCGGCCACACAGGCATATTCATCTCTATCATAGGGGAGAAAGCAGCTGAGCTGGCCAAGCACAGAGGAGGCTTTCTAGGTGCTAAGAGCATCCTCTCTATCTCTGCTCTTGTGAACAGCAGCCAAGGACTTACACTGCCTCACTAGAACTTAGAACCCCAGGTGATGATTCTCAGCCTGCGAGGGAGACTAGAGAAATGGACATTTTCTCATCTAGACTACTTTGGCCTCCTCTTCCTGTCATCTTTAAGGAGCAGACTATTTTAATCATTCCACATTAAGAGAAAATTGATCCCACAAATCAATTTGCTGGTCTCATCAGCTAAGTGAAGCCTCCAATTAAGGAATGTTCACTTAAGAAGATACTGAGGGAGGAATCAAATAAATAAATAAAACTGAGCCAGGCTCTAAAAGGTTGACCCTCTCTCATTAATGGCAAGTTGTCTGAGATTTGGCTTACTTAAAACCCTCATGGGTCATAATAAGGAAATATTTAAGCAACTTATTTTATGTCCTTAGCAACCTAAAAGTACAGCAGCTACAGTGTTTAACTGAATGGCCAAGCCCCACTCGTTTGTCCCCCTCAGGATTTTCAGTTTCTACACCGTGCGGTAAGGCACACACAAACCATGCCACTCCGGTGCTCTACAAGGACTCCACAGGCACCATGAAGCGGCTCATCATTGATGTGGGAAAGTACACGTCACAGAAAACAAAGTGAGGACAGAGAGGACACAGGTTTTAGAGGAGGTCATGAGGAAAGGCGTGTGTTAGCTGAAGCCCTCCCTCTGGGAGAACTTCAGTGCAGACCTGAGGTAATTTTGGATTACATGACGTTGGTTAGAAGACAGCACAGTGCCAGGGTTAGTTATTACCCACCATCTTCAGACACTTGCAACATGCCATCTTTAAATAGGAAAAACAAAAACCAAAAAAGTGATCACTTCTACACCTCTAACTCTCCAAACAAATGTTAGTTCAGATCCAAGGCTCTGTGCTTTCCCTGTGGCCACTTTCCAACCCCTCTGAGGTACCTGGAAAAGCAGTCAGTGAAGCCCCTGCCCCGTGGGTTCCCACAAAGGCCAGCATCTGTCACACAGCCAGGTGCAAGACAGCAAGCAGTCTTCCCCAGAGACTCTGCCATGTAAAACTGCTTTTGCCCTGATCAACTCTGCCTGAGTCATCAGGGTGAGGTCAGTGGGAGCCAAGCAAAGCTCAGTGGTCAAGCTAGGGAAACCTTCAGTGGTCCCCAAAGGCTCCTGACCTAGAAGTCACTGAGAGATGCATTTATGGCTTCCTGAAGCGTTTATAGATCCAATAATGGCCACAAAAATGGAAAGAAAATGAATCCTTTGAAAAGTGACCCCATTTCTCTTTATTCCCTAAACATAAATTCAGTTCATTCGGACATTCGCAAACCTATCAGACTTGTGAAGCCAGCCCTAACAACAAGGTGCAGACAGACAGTTGCCCGCCCGGCTCAGACTCACAGGACCCACACAGATAAGGAGTGATGCAAGGTGTCAAGGCTGCACATGGCCGGATGCATTTGGAGCAGCCCCCAACTGGGGATACCATCAGTACCTTACTAGACCACTTGGTAGCTTCCCGATGCAAGGACTGAGCCGCCGCCAGAATGGGCTGGTTGACCGGCTGATTAGATGGCATTAACAGCAGCTCAGGTTCGTAATCGTCTTCCATGTCAGAGGGGAAAGGGAACCCAACAGCATCAGCCGCATCTGCCTCAGCTACAACTCCTATACCCACCTGAGCAGCTGGGATACCCGGCTTTGTCGATGGTAGGAGGGTGAAAAATAGGGATAGTGTTAGTAAGAACAACAGGACTTTGGAAA